TTTCATAGACAAAATTCTTGAGCAAGACACTGACATCTTAGCAAGGTGCTTGGGTGAGTTGTAGGGAAAATGCTGCCAAGGCTTTGCAGGCCCAGGTGGGTCCAGCAGCATTGCAGCCCTTCCCTGCACTGACTTGTGTTGTCCTGAGCCACTTGGGTTGCTGTCCCAGGCAATTGCTGGGAGAGCGCAGGTATTCTGATGCTGCACAAGGTGTGTAGTCCTGGGGACCTTCTCTCTGCTCCCTGGGCAGGCTGATTTCTTGTTCTCCAAACCTGTAGGAGTCTCTCTGGGATTCAGACTTAATTGGTGAGCAGCAGGGCTCAATGAGGAAGAAGCTGAATCCTGAGTCAGAAAGAAATGTAGCCTGGTGTCTGGAGCTGCTGTGTAGCGTTCTCTGTGCCTGCAAAAAATTCAATCGATGCACCTAGGAAAGCCCAAGAAGCTCCTGGTTACTCCAGATGCCTCTTGGCAGGCTCCTCTCCCATCCTGCAGCGGCTGCTTGCACCAGGAGAGGTAGATGTGTCCCTTGAGCAGGGCTGTAACTGATCCTGGGCTCCTCTTTCTGCTGCCTGCTTGGAAGTCTTGGCTTGAGGCTTCTGCCCAGGCACTTGTAACCTCATCTCTCCCTGACTCCTGGTTCTTGCTGCAGGTTGTGATGGGGTGAGGGTCTCTTGGGGCCGAGCAGCAGAGCTTTGCCATGATAGCCTTTATTGCTCTATTGATTTCACAGCATCTGTGGCTCCTGTTATATGCAGGGGAGGGAGGGCAGCCTGTCTCACCCTGCTCATTTCTGCCCCTGTTCAGACTGAAGCCCTCTGCCAGCTATGAAGCCTTCCTGGGCTCTCCCTGCTCCCCTGCCCTTCCGGGCAGGACTATGCTAGGTTGTTCCCATCACACCGCTCTGCCCACGGAGCCCATCCCATCTGTCCCCATGTGTTGCTTTCCTGTTCCCTCGCTGTGCTCCAGCTCCTGCACCGGCAGCCGGCTCCCAGCTGAGGAGCAGTGAAAGCCGGTATGGCCGAACATGACCTTAACCTGGGCTTTATTTAGCACCTTGATTTACAGAGGAGTTATTTTAAAAGCATGTTTCTCTTTTGGGAGGTGTGGTGAGCGTGTGGCAGAGTGGTGGCAGTGAGCTGAAGTTCATAGGCCCTCCTGTGCTGTTGACAAAGAAGCATTTGAGTCCCAAGACACATTTTGCTTGGGGAGATGCTCTCTGGCTTGGTTGGAAAACAATCCTGTTTGCCTTTGTGCTGGGTGGCTGAAAAGGAGCAAGTGTCCAGGACCTTTTGCATAAGGAGGATGTGGCAATACTGGTAGAGGCAGGGAAGCCTGAGACTTGCATTCCCTGGAGGTGGCTGCTTGCTCCAGGAGGCTCCTATGCTGGGCTCTGCCAGCTCTTGGGGGCTGCTGTGGGCTGGCTGAAGTGGAAGCCTACTGGGCCAGGAGCGCCCTCTCCTTGGATCCTTGTTGGTTTAGGTTGTTCTCCTCTCCAGGCGCTGTCCCCTTATCCTGGGTTGCAGAGGTTTCTCCTCACTCCTGCTGGGGGTTGCCTTGCCTGCTTGAGATGAGGGATGTGGTTTGTAGCTAGGATGGGCTCTAGACTTCAAGTTCATCAGCCTCTGGAGCACAGAATGCTGTCCCCTTCTCGTGCTGTCTCAAACTGGTCTGTATGAGTTCCCTGTGCCTCCAAACCATGGCTTCTCCACACGTGTGGCAGCAGGCACACCTGCACGCTAGATTTGTGAGGCTGGCTGACCGCGCTCTGACATTAAACAGGACCACGCGGCCTCTTGCAGCCCTTGCTGAGGCCCTTTCCGCAGGCCACTCCGCACTCTCCACTTCTCAAAGTTAATTAGTACAGATAAGCAGCCCCATCCCTAGGATTGTGAGTTGGTTCAATGAGTCCATGATCGGAGGTGAATCTGCTGCTGTTGCAGGCTCCGAGCTCTGCCATGTTTCATCCTCTGTGTTTCAAGGTAACTTCTGAGGCTCTGCTGTGTTTCACCCTCCACCTGGGCAGGACCTGTCCCCAGGAGACCGCCCTGGGTGGGTGGAAACACTGAAAAGCACCATTGCCTGTGTGTTCACCTGCAGCACATGGAGGCTGCATCCATCCTTATTCTGTACCTGCCCAAGGATGCTGTTGCAACAATCACATGCAGCAGGATGGAATGTGGGAATTTGCTCCCTATTTGGGGCTTTTCATGTGGAATTAGCAGAGATTGATGAAAACTTCTCCTCTTTCTACCAAATGGTAGGGGTTGAAACCTTCTCTCTGTCCCTTCAAAGCCTGCACAGCTGTCATGGCTTTGTGGTATAGTCTAGCCAGAGAGAGATAAAGCCTTTCTGCTAAGGAGTGCACTGTTAGCACTGAACTCTGCAATGGCTACAGGCTATGGTTATTCTGTGTTTTACTAAAGGAAGGATAATATATGACTTGATTTATTTTAACCATATAAAGGATTTTTGATTTGGTGCCAATGTTAATAATTGTCTTGTGAAGGCTTTGCTAAGG